ACTTGTACTGACTTATGAGAGCCAATTGCTTAATTTTCAGTGTGAGCATTTACATTGCAGAAATCAGCAAGATACAAATAAGGACTCGATTTATTGTTTTGTTGACTGTCTAGCCTTAACAAAGTAATTGAGAAAATGTTAATACAGATTAAATTTTAAAATGTCATGCATACTTTTTTGTTTTTGTTTTGTTTTTTACCAGAAAGCTGGTTATTAAACATTCACCAGCAACCTCCTGCCTAAGGTCTAGTTTCCCAGTTTAGCTCAAGTCCTCTGAGCTAAAATGATCCTATCAAATTGATGAGTTCCCCAATAAACTCAGTAAGATTATAAGAAATGAATTTTCATTTAGATATGTCTAAGAATTCTATGAGCATGTCCACTGGTGTGTTATTCACAGTATTTCAGAGAATCAAGTTACCTAAGATTGACTAAGAATCAATTGCCCCTCCCTGTTGTCCAAGCGTGAGGCCTGACCTCAAGATAGTATCTTAAGCTGAATACCCCCACATGAAGTTCTTCAGGAAAATCTCCCATTTTGCTCATGGTAGAGCTTCCCAAAAATGGGTAACAGAATATTTCCTCTCATACAATACTCAAGGTAACAAAATGTGTATAACAGGACAGCCTTAATTTCATTCCACAGAAAATAAATAAAATGCAAAGGACTCATATATATATCCATAACCAGATACCTAAATATTCATAAGGAAATTGAAATTGGTGTTCCTAACAGGACAATTCTTTGACATTCTAGGAGTCCCCCTTTCTCACACAGTCATATGCAGTCCCCTTATTCAGATCTCTTTTCCATTAGAGCTACACTGTCTTTCCTTTTACTGGCTCTGCTCTTTAAATAGATAATCTTCTTTCTTTTCCTTGGAGTGTACTGTATCAAGAAATTCCCTCCTCTCTGTAAAAGATCAAGTGTCCAAACTGTCAAACTCTGGCACATTATCACCTATGAAACAACTCCCAAAGCTGTGATTCCTGTCTTGGGTAAAGTGAGCTGGTACATGCCTATTTCTGCCATGTGCTTCTTCAGGAAATTCCTCAGTGACCTGCTAACTACCACCTGCTGATCTGGGAAAATTCACTCGAGTCTCCAGTCTCTCTGACTTACTTAGAAAGCAAAACAGAAAGGTAGGAGGTAGATAGGAATTTGAGGTCCAGGAACTCCCCTCTCAGGCCACCTGGCCAAGCATATGCAGCTTGTTGTGTTCTTCTGCTACGACTCAACATTAACTCTCCCTGTGTGTAGGGAAGCTTCACATGGACAGAGGGTCTTCCCCACTCCTCAATACACCAGGCCCCAGAATATAAGTTCATAATACTGTGTTCTGGTTTGAATTCTGCAGGCAAAAAGGAAGTCCAAGAAAGAGCCAACAATTCACTTTTATAGGCTGTAGGAATGAATGTGCGATTCCTAATCCATCATAGGAAAATAGATTGAAGAGTTGGAAGGAAAATTAGAGGTCATGGAGTCTAACTTCATGTTTTTTAAGCTTCAAGATTCACATGAACAAAATAGAAATTTCTTTATCTTAATTTTGGAAAGCTTGAAAGATTCTAATAAATGACTTTTTTTAAAAAAAATCAGCTTTATAGAAATTGATGAATATGGCTAATAATCTCAGGCTAGCTATCTATCACACTTTTATTATTTGTAAATTCAGAAGGATGTTCGTCATGTAGAAACATTCTTTGCATGAAGTAACATTTTCAGAGCATGGCTTCATTCATTCTTTGACTTACAAGGGACCACACATTCCTATGGACATGTATGAGGCATAGTTATATATTAGGGAAGAGCACTGGAACTGGATTTTTGTCCCAGCTTTGCTATTTACCAACTATGTGACTATGAACGAGTCATTTAACTTAGTTTTCTCATTTGTGAAATGTGAACTGCAGTATTTTCACACCTTTCAAAACAGGGTTGTATTGAGCAAAGTACTTTGTGAATTATAATATTCCACTACTGTAAATATGTTGAAGGTTCAGGACAATACTGTAGTCTACTGAAATCATTTCTCTTTTCTCTCCCTCCTGATTTGGTACACTCCACAGCATTCAGAATTACACAATCATAGCTTCTCCATCTGCCTTGTATTCAGCCTTAATGATACAGTGCTGATGTCAGAATTATAAGGGCCTCTACTCTCTTGTCCTCATGCAGCTAAAATTTCTTGAAAAATTGGTGTCTGGCAGGGGCAGGTGTCCTCTCCTGCCTCCCTTTACCCAAGTGTTGCAGCACCCTTTCCCTCAGTTGGGGCTCCTGAAGTTTCTCCCCAGAAGGTCCTAGAGATTCTGATATCCTCTCCTTAGGGAGATTGCCCACTTCTCACCTCTATCAAGATTTCTCTTTCTACGCCTCTCTTAGAATGATGGAGAAGGAGATTACCTTTTGGGACCCCAGTCACAGCCCCTTTAGTCGTTGAGTCAAAATGCATTGGGGATTTCTATCCAGACTTACAAGTGTGTGTATTGAATGTATACATGTATGAGGAGAGACAGAGAGAGAGAGAGAGAGAGAGAGAGAGAGGTATGTATCCCAAAGAGATCAAAGAAAGAGGAAAAGGACCTATATATACCACAGTATTTATACTAGCTCTTTTTGAGATGACAAAGAATTGAAAATTGAGAGGATGTCCATCACTTGCAAAATGGTTAAACAAGTTGTGGTATATGATTGTGATGGCATATTGTTGTGCTATAAGAAATGAAGAGCAGGGTGGAAAATGTGGAAGACTTCCATGAACTAATTCAAAGTGAAGTGAGCAGAACCAGGAGAACATTGTACACAGTAACAGCAATATTATGTGATGATCAACTGTGCATGACTTAGCTACAATGATCCAAGACAATTCCAAAGGACTGGTAATGGAAAATGCTTTCCTCCTCTACAGAGACAATGGATGGAATCTGAGTGCAGAAGGAAGCATAACTTTTTCACTTTCTTTATTTTTCTTGCTTTTTTGCAACATAACTGGTATGGAATTGTTTTACATGATTTCACATCTATAATTGATATTACATTTCTTGGCTTCTCAATGGGAAAGGGGAGGGAGAGAATTTGGAACTCAAAAAAAATTTTAAAGAATGTTAAAAATAAATAATAAATTTATTTTAAAAAAAATTAATGATTCCACATCTACCCTGTGCCAGATACTGTGCTAACTTCTGGGGATACAAAAAGAGGCAAAAGACAGTTCCTGCCCTCAAGGAACTTACAACCTAATGGTTAAGAAAACATGTAAATAGATATATACAAAGCAAATTATATACAGGATAAATAGGAAATAATTAGGAGAGAGAAGACACTGGAATTAAGAGATATCAGGGAAGGCTTCCCATAGAAAGTGAGAGTTTAGTTGGGACTTAAAGGAAGCCATAGAAGTCAGTAGTCAGAGTGGAGGAGGGAGAGTGTTCCTGGCATGGGGGACAGCCAGAGAAAATTCTGGGAGTTGAGAAATGGAATATGTTACTCACAAAAAAGCCAGGAAGTCAATACCACTGGATTGAAGAGTATGTGTTAGAGAATAAGGTATACAAAAACTGGAAAGGTAAGAGGGGGCTAGGTTATAAAAGGCTTTGAATGCCAAAGTATTTTGTATTTGCTCTAGAGACAAGATGAAGCCAGTAGAGTTAATTGAGAAGGGGAGTAGCATGGTCATATTTGTTTTTTAAGGAAAATCAGTTTAGTGGATGAATGAAGAAAGAATTGGAGTGAGGAGGGACTTAAAGTAGGTAGTTCCACCAGCCAGCTCTTAGAATAATCAAGGCTTGAAATGATGAGGCCTGAATTAGAGTGGTAGTAGGGTCAGAGAAGAAAAAGGGGTGTAGTCAAGAGATCTTGCAAAGACTTCTATTCAGGTACAGGTTGGATTATGTGGCCTCTCTGAAATCTCTTCCAATTCAATCAATCAAAAAGCTTATTATGTGCCAGGCCCTATGTTATGCAGTAGAGATACAAACACAAACATGATTCGAGTGTCCAAGGAACTCTAATAGGGGAATACAGTATGTGAGTGATTGGTGTAGTTTGGGTCTGAAAAGGGTCACATAGATGTGCGCCATTATTGTAAGAGAACTCATGATACTTTACAAAGTACACTTTGGGACTTAGAATTGATCAATGAAAAGGGTTTGTTGTACAACAGTAAGAAGAACTGAATTTTAAATTTATATTAATAATAACCTCTCTAATACTAACTGGCCATGTGTTTTTTTTTTCCAGGTCCTCTGTAAATCTTAGTTTGTTTGTTATTAACTACAAAAGTGGATAAAACGACTTCCCATACTTATTTCACAGAATTCTTGGGAGGAAAACACTGTTTAAACCTTTAAAAACTATGTAAACGCATGCTATCATCATTAAGAATTCATTTTCAATTACCTTTATGTTTCTCAGCTCTACCAATCCAACTGCCAAATAATTAATGACCACTTAAATTCATTAGAGAAACTTGATTTTTAAGGAAGGTGAGGACAAGGGGAGATAGCTCAAGGGCACTGGCTCTGCTGTCTTAGTGACCTTAAGCAGCTCAGTTTACCAACATGGTCCTCAGTTTCCTCATATGTAAAATATAGGATTTGGATTAGAAGGCATCTGAGGTCCGTTCCAGCTCTAGGGCTGTTATTCCTTTTGTAAAACAAAAATATCTTTTAATGTGCTTACTTGTTAAACCATTCTATTTATTTCTTAAGTGTCCACTATGTTACGGCACCACGCTAAGTCTTTTATATCCTTACAGTACATTTATGTCTACATAGTGCCTTGTCTTTCATAAGCACTTAATAAATGTTTATTAACTTGTTTAAAAAAAGATACCCTTTAAAAATTGAATATCACCACACACAACTCACTGCAATTTATGTATATGCTCTTTTTAAGTGTGAATTTTCTTATACGAGGTGTTCTAAACAATTGTATACCTCATGTTAATCTTGTGGCTGGCTACCTATTAACAAAAAAATAGTAAAGCATGTATCCAAAGTTAAACATGTGTACCTCTTTCTTTTAGATCTTCAATGTAGGCTTTCATAAACTCCTTTTCAAAATACTGGCGATCTTGCTCACTTCCTGTCATTTCTTCACTGTCTTGATAGTTGGTTTTGCCAATTGGGTTATCCATGAGGCTTACAAATCTATTATAAAAGATATAAGAAAACACTATTTTTCTTTAACCTATTAATATGTAATATCATTTTTTTTTCTTTCAAGTGAATCTACTATATATGGCGTTTTCCTATTAATAGTCACTTGAGAACAACCTCCTGCAATTTGGGGTCTGGTAGTTACCAAGACTCCCCTTTCCTTCTTGATGCTTCATTTTAATATTTCCTCCCTTTCTCCTTTTCTGTCTTTCTCTTCCCATCCCCAACTGAATGTCACGCTCAAAAGGTCCTCATCCTCTCTCCCCACCGCAGTCTTTTGCCTTTGCTTCTCATCACATCCCAGCACTGGTGGAGAGCAAGAGACCAGTGATAGAGCTAGTGGTGGAGAGGGAAAGGGAAGGAAAAAAGGGGAAAACAAATACCTTCTAGCCATTCTCTCCTTCCCCTATTCCTTTTCCCTCATTCCCAGTACTGCATTGGTCTGCAAAGCCCTAACCCCAATTCCCCAACCCACCATAATCATGCTTTTCACTCTAATGGCCCTTATCCCAGTGATGAAATGTTTGAATTTGGAATTTCCTCTGAAATAAAGGAAGAAGAGGAGAAAGTAAAGGAGGTAGAAAGGAAGAGAAGGAAAGAAACCTTTAAGCATTCTAATTTTTCCCTGATTATAATGTATTACTGAGCTTAGAGAAGTTATACTTCATCTGTTAAAATTAAAAGAAAGGACAAGAGGATCGGTGCAAAGTAAGGCTTACACTGAAATGAATGACATGTGAGTAACTACATGTCAGATGCCCAAAAGCTTTTCTAATATCATCATTATGTGGAAAGATTTAAATATTTAAACATATGATACAGGAAAACTTCATTTAATTAGAACACTTGCTTAATCATTTATTTCACTTGACCTACTTTTTTAAACAAACAAGGAAAAATACTTCCAGCAATATAATTTTTTAAAAAAATCTGACAGAGCCACTTACCCTTATCTCCTTTATTTACAATAATATGCCAAAGGAATTGATCTTAAGGATTAGGACCCCTAAAGATTTTCAATATCTTTAATTCATATATGCAAAAACTATAAATTATGTTCATACATATACTTATTAAACAAAACAGTTGATTTTAAAAAATGAGATTTGAGTAAAAGAGGCTTCTGGGTATCCGGTAATCAAAATATCACATTATCCAGAGGATTCCATTTCCCAAGCTCAATTTGATTAATTGAAATTTCATGGTGCTTTATACTTTAATGTCTCCCTAACTGTCATGTACCTTACAGTGCTATAAAATACTATCAAAAAACCTACACAAAACAAAATCTCATTCCCATCACATTATTATGTGAAATGACCAAAGCTACATTTCTTAAAGGAGTACACTTAACTAAATCAAAGAAAGACTTTTTTTTTCTTCCCATATTTCTTTCTTGATCATCATTTATTTTATTTTCAGTCTAAATTCATTTGTAGGCTATTTTTTTTTTCCTTTTCTCTACTTACTTTAAAGTGCTTGACTCACAAATAGCTGTTGGAATCTCCACCAAATCTTCCCCACTGACTACTAACAAGGTGAGTTTTGTTAAGTTGAGCAAAACCTGAGGGAGGTAGGTCAGTTTGTTTTTATGTAAGAGGAAGGACTGCAATTCTTCCAGCCTAAGAAGAAGGAAAAGACATCGTACTTCAGCAAATAAGACACTTGAGTACAAGCCTGTGTTAGCACCATTTGTCAACTCCTTTTGGTAGAAAAATCCCATGGTGACTGTGATTTTGTGTAGACATGTATGGCTCTTGGATAGCCAGCTGAAACTAACAATCTATCAGCTCAAATAAAACTGATTTTTTTTTGATAATCAGTCAATCAACAACCATTTATTAAGGCACATACTATGGGCTAGGGTGGCACTGGAGATTAAAAAAAAATGAAAGATTGTTTGCTCTCAAGGAGCTTACACTCCATTGGGGGATGTAACCAATAGATACTATTATGTTGATAAACTTATTTCTTCATCATCAGCATAGTATGGTGATGTTGAAAAAGCACCTTTTTTTTCTCACAACTATCCTATTGTGAAGCTTCACTTTGTAGTTGGAAAGGTAGCGTGACAATAGAGAACCAGTACCAGAGTCAGAATGACCTGGGTTCAAGCCTTGCCTCTGACACATACTGGCCGTATGACCCTGGGCACATTAACTTCTCAATGTTCCAATAAGTTTCAGATAAGGTGTCACCCTAGTAGAAGGAGTTTGTTTGTTTGTTTATTTGTTTGTTTTATTACCAGAGAGTTCCCTACAACAGTGAAATCACAAGTCAGTCCTTATTCCATTTTTTAGATCAGGAAAGTGAGGCTCTGAAAAGTTAACTGATATGTCCATAGTCATTTAGCTAACAAATATCAGAGCTAGGATTTTAACTACAGACTAGTCTCTGAGTCCAACACTTTTTGCCCTATATGACCACTATGTGGTTAGCTGGGAAAGAGTGGGTTTTAAGGCGAAGGATCTCAGTTCAATCTTGCCTCTGATGCTTACTACCTGCATGACCTTGGATAGACCATTTCTATATCTTCATCTATATGATTAGGTGATTAGACTAGTGGCCTCTGATTCCTTTTAGATTATGAGATATTGTGAAAGTTAATTATACTTTAGCAAAAGAAGATATGAGTAATAAGAATTAATACATTAAACCAACCATATTTTGTCCTGGGAAGTGTTGAAATCACATAACTACTTTTTCCATAATGTTCCCATCTGTATCTGAAGAATTACTTTGAATTAAGTGACTGACTTGCATAGGGAAGAGGTAATAAATAATATGAGTGTTTCATTGAAGATTCTTTGATGTAGCATCAGTTGATTTCATATTAACTTAACGTAATTCCTTGTACATAGTAGCTATTTGATAAGTGCTTGTTAAATTGAATTGAATACAGAAAGGTGATGGTACAACGAAGTGCCAATTAAAGATTTAAATGAGTTAAAGAGTTCCTGAAGCAAAAAATCCATAAAGTGATAGTTAATCACTAACATTAAACAACAATTCACAGCATAGACTTTAAATTATACAAAGCCCTTCCTTAAAAGAATTTCATGAGGTAAGCAGTACAAATGTTATGCCTATTTTGCAAATGGGAAAAGCAGCTCAGGAAGTGAAATAACTTTCCCAATGATCCATGCTTAAAGAGCATCAGAGTCAGTGTCAATCAGGTGATACGCCCATCCATGCCTTTTGGAATCAAAGATAACATTATTTCGGGGCAGCTAGGTGGCTCAGTGGATAGAGCACTGGCCCTGAAGTCAGGAGGACCTGAGTTCAAATCCGGCTTCAGACCAAACACTTAACACGTACTAGCTGTGTGACCTTGGGCAAGTCACTTAATCCCAATTGCTTCACCAAAAAAAAAAAAAAGATAACATTATTTCCACTGGTCAGTTAGATAGCACAGCAGATAAAGGGCCAGGCCTGAAGTCAGGAAAACTCATCTTCTTGAGTTCAATCTGGCCTAAGACACTAGCTGTGTGAACCTGGGCAAATCACTTCACCATGTTTGCCTTAGTTTTCTCATCTGTAAAATCAGCTGCAGAAGAAAGTGCCCAACCGCTCTAGTATCTTTGCCAAGAAAACTCCAAATGGGGTCACGAAGAGTCAGATATGACTGAACAACAAAAATAATTTCCACTACCTCATGTAGCAAAACACTTTTCTGAAACCAAAAGATACCTTAAAATTAGTTGTTGTTTCAAAAATAATTTGTTACATGTTTTCTCCAAGGTTCTACTTGGTTAAACTTTTAATAAAAATCAAATATTTTACCTTGTAATGTAAATAGCTACCTGTCTATATCTTGTGGAAGATCATTTAGCTGATTGTTGCTGATGTCCAACCACTGTAAATTTGACATCCGGAGAACACATATGGGAATACTGGACAACTTATTTGCTGACACATCTACAAATGTAACTTGTTTCAAATTACTTAGCTAGAAAGAAAAAATAACACATTTTAATTACATTTTATGGAAGACAAAATAATGTCTACAAATATGTTTCTGTTTGAAGGTTTCGGTTTTTTTGTTTGTTTTTAGTCTTGTTCTGCTGTTTTGCATTTTTTTTTTTTTGCCTCCTTGGGAATATGAAAAACAAAACTGGCATGGAGAGAGGGGAAATGTTGTGTGTGACAAACAACTACAGTGGTCTTCCTACTATTTGTCACACACAGCACTCCTCACCCCACACCCCACCTTCTCCCAGGTCTTTGCACTAGCTATTCCCTATGCCTGAAATACTCTGTCTCCTCACCTCTGCCCCTTCATTTCCATGGCTGCCTTCATGACTCAATTGAAATCCCACCTCCTGAAGTATGAGTGCCTTCCCTACTCAAAAGGCCTTCCATCTAGTCTGTCTTATATGCACCTAGTTATTAACATGTTGTCTCCCCAATTAAACTATGTGTTCCTTAAGTATAAGAACTGTTTTTGTTTTTGTTTTGTTGCCTTCTTTATATCTCTAGAACTTAGCACAATGCTTATCACTTAGTAAGCACTTAATAAATGCTTGTTGATTGTTGATTGAATAAATGGTCCTTACCTTCAAAGAGCTTATAATTTTGTGAAGATCCTACACCAAAAAAAATTGTAACACAAAAGAACATGAAAAATTCATGAGAGGCATAAAGAATGAGAGTTACAGGTAGAGATAGCACATTTTCTTGGTGGGGCTGTGAATAAAGAAAAACTATATGGAGAGCTCACTTTAGAGCCTGGATCTGAAGAATGGAAAAAAAATTTCAACAAGCATAGACTGTGGGAGAGGGCATGCTAAAAAAAAGAATTGGCACAGAGTTCAATTTGTTCAGGGAATGGTTAGTGGCCCTACCTGACTGGAGCATGGAATATACGAAGGGGAGTAATATCAACCAATCAATAGGTGGTATGCCTTTGAAACCTGGATAGTACACTAGTGCCATGCCAGGAAACTGAATTGCTTCCTTTGAATTATCTTAGGAAGATTCTGAAGGTCACCTGGAAAAATAAGGTACCTGCTTTCTCGAGTTCAACTGCCAAGCATTCAAACTCTACTGCAGAGAGTGCAATTCAGAAGGGCTGGCCATGTTGTTTGAGTGTCAAACTATTTTATGGAGAACTCACACAAGGCAGGCTCTCACATGGTGGTCATATAGAGTGATACAAGGACACTCTCAAAGTCTCTCTGAAGAACTTTGGAATGGATTGTGTGACATGGGAGATTCTGGCAAAGGACCACATGGCATGACATGTCCACATCAAAGTAGGTAGTATGCTCTGTAAGCAAAGCAGAATTGCAGTAGCTCAAAAGAAACATGAGATGTACAAATTTAGAGACATCTCCACTCCAAATGTTCACATGGACTATTTGTGCCCAACCTGTGGTAGAGCTTTGCAAGCTTGTATTGGTCTGAACAGCCACAGTTAGACACGGTGTACCTTGACTCCAACATAGTAATGTCATTTTGGTCCTATTCAAGAAGGAAGGAAAACAACCAACCAACCAAGCATTTATTGAATGCCTACTGTATTCCAGACACTTAGCAATGGGTATACAAAGAAAAGCAAAAGACAATCCTTGTTCTCAAGGAGCTCACAGTCCAATGGAGAAAAAATGCAAACTATGCACAAACTACATATACGTACATACATGTATACATACATAGATGTATGCATAGTTTGTAATGTATAGATTTATAGTTAAAATTGTAGTTATATAGAGATTAAAGTATATATGTGTAGTTTGTACATATATAGTTATAGCTAAAATTATAATTATATAGAGATAAAATATATTCAGTATGTTAATTTATTTGCATATATTGCATACACATATATTGTGTATATATGCATGTGTATGTGTATATGTATGTATAGTTGTTTAGTTTCAGTTGTGTCTAACACTTTGTGACCTTATTTGGGGTTTTCTTGGCAAAGATACTGAAATTTGTCATTTCCTTCTCCAGCTCATTTTACAGATGAGGAAAATGAGGCAGACAGTGTTAAGTGACTTGTCCAGGGTCACATAGCTAGTGTCTGAGGCCAGATTTGAACCCAAATTTTTCTGACTCCAGGCCCAGAGCTCTATCCACTGTGCCATTTAGCTGCCCATATATTTGATAAAATAAAGATAATCCAAAAAAGGGGAGATACTAGGGTTAAGAGAAATCAGAAAAGCCTTCTTGTAGAAGGTAATAATTTAACTGGGACTTGAAGGACATCCGAGAAACTGGGAGGTGGAGATGAGGAGGAAGAATATTCTAGACAGGCGACAACCAATGAAGATGTCTGGGAGTCAGAAAACAGAGCAGCAATGAAACCACTGTCACTGGAGGAAAGAATTAGTGCTAGAGAAGTAGAAAGAATCTGGGTTGTAAAGGGCTTTGAATGCCAAACAGAGGATTTTATATTTGATCCTGGAGGTGGTAGAGAGCCCCTGGAGTTTATTGAATGGGGAAGGGAGGGGTGATATAGTTAGATCTGTGCTTTTGGAAAATTAATTTGATAACCGAATAGAGAATGGACTAGAGTGGGGACAGATTAGACAGGGAGACCAACCTAAAGGCTTTTCCAATAGTCTAGGTGGGAGGAGATGTGGGCCTACACTAGGATGGTGGCACTGTCTGAAGAGAGAAGGGGGCATATAAGGGATGTGATGAAGATAAAAATCAGTAAGATTTGGCAACATATTGGTTATGGTAGGTGGGGCAAAGGTGAGGAATCAAGGCGTAAAAAGATTATCTATTTTGGGCCAGGGGAATTGTATGAGGATTGAATTTTAAAGTGACTGCTCAGAGGTCCCTAAACTTAATAGTAATAACTGACATTGTATAGGATTTTTACAGCTTAAAAAGCCCTTTACATGTACCATCTCATTTTAATCTGTGCAGAAACTCTGCTAGGTAAGTGCTATAGGTATTTATGATAGACATTATTTTATGGTTTCTGTTCCTGGTTTCTGAGTGCAGAAACATTGAAATGTTAGTGAAGGAAAACACCTTTTGACCTCACATACAGCTTTGTTTGTGAAAGACAAAGTAACACAGTATCATGAAACAATGGCTCCACATTTTGATGGTGTGTACAAATTTGATAGTTATTTTTGAACTTAAGATTTTAATGGCTAACTGTTATTGACTTGGATGGGAAATTTATGAATAAAATCTGTGCTGTTCCTGAGGATAAATCTTTACGAAATCTCTTTAAAGAGCCATTTAAACCTTCAAGCCTTCACCATTTTTTATAAATGCCTATGGCAATAGGCATTACATGAATAACTAATAGAATGGTTTGACCCAAACACATAAGTATAATATTAACGTAAAGTAATATCTTTCATCTGAATACATTTTAAATGCATTCGATATATTTTGAAGCTATCCATTTTATGGAAAGCCACGATACTAAGTCAAAAAAGATATTAAACAATAGCATCTCAGAGTAAACACTAGATACTAAATGCATTGTTCATAAAATAAAAACAGAGTAAGTGTTGATAGGGCTTTTTCATTGAGTAGCAAAAACTCTATCAGTCAGTAATTACTTTTCAAAGGGGAAATTGAATTCCCTAGAATGAAGGGTATGATTATTATAAACTCTTCTGTCTCACTAGCACTTACTACAGCTATCAATCATTTGGAAAGAAACTGTGTTTGAATTCAGAGCAAAAAAAAATCCCTATTAAAAAACAGTTCTTATTAACTGATTCTGTTAGTTTTTTTCTAAATTGTTTTCAAAATAACTGATGCTTTGATTATATTTCTTTATTTCTCTTTTGAGTGCAATGTTGCTTAAGACAGGCAGCCATCCATTTCTAGCACCAAGATCTCCTTGACAACTCTACAACGACAAGAAAGTGTGAGCATACATTTGAATGCTATACCTAGCCTTAGTAGGAGACATAAAACATTCCTAAAAAATAAAGACACTAAAGACACTCTACAATATTGTTTAATTTTAATTTTTTGTTGTTTGTTTGTTTTTTGGTGAGGCAATCAGGGTTAAGTGACTTGCCCAGGGTCACACAGTTAGTATGTGTCAAGTGTCTGAGGCCAGATTTGAACTCAGGAACTCCTGACTCCAAAACTGGAGCACTATCTACTGCACCACCTAGCTGCCCTCCCCCATATTTTTTATTTTTAAAACTAGATTTTGGTCAATATTTACTATGAGAGAAAATAATTGCATGTATAATAGTTAATCAATAGACATTTATTAAGCACTTAACTATGCTAAGTACTGTGGATACAAAGGTAGTACCTGCCATCAGGGTACATACATTCTTATAGTAGAAATGTTAATTCCACACAGCATTCCTATATTATAATGGCTTCCTGATTTCATCAATATGAGTATTGTCTCAATTAGTGAAGATCACAACACAACTAGACTCTGTCCTAGGTCCTCTCATCCCGTTTCCTCTTCTCTCCTCTCCTCTCCTTTCCTCTTCTCTCTTCTCCTCTCCTCTTCTTTGCTCTTTTGTCCTTTTATACTATTTCCACGGGGGTTCCCATCAGCTACCATAGTTTCAATCCTTATTTCTATGTAGATGACACTCAGATACAGTTGTCTAGCCCTAACCTCTCTTCCAACCTTTAGTTCTACATTTTCAATTGACTTTTTTCCATTTCAAACCAGATGGCTTATAGACACCTTAAACTTAACATGTCCCAAACTGAACTCATTTTCTCTCCCCAAAACTGTTACCATTTCCAAACTTCCCTATTACTGTCAAGGGCCCCATCATCTTCCCAGTTCCTCTGAATCATAAACTAGGTGTCATTCTCATCCCCTTGATCTCTCAACACCACACCCATATTCCATGAATGATCAAGTTCAGTTGTTTCAACACTCTTAACATCTCTTGTATATTCTCCCTTTCCTTTGCAATCACTGTGATGCAGGGCCCTTATCACCTCATGCCTGGACTTTTGCAATACCCTGCTGGTTGGTCTCTC